TTCTAAATTCAAACTCTCGTAAAAATGTATTGTGTATTTACGCCAAACCTTTTTTTTAATGTCCACTAACAACAACTTAAGAAAAACCTTGTATTACATTTACAAGTTGTTTGACCTACTGAAAATTTTTTTATTGTCAGAGGTTTGAAAAAAAAACAAATAATAATCGAAAATTTCATATGCCTATAAATAGTTCAACATTAGTCCAAATATTTTGAAAATGGTGTGGTGTATTGAGAATACCAACACAAACATTCAATGAAAAATTCATGTATCTATGTAATTTTTTTTTTAGTTACACTAAAATTCAAAATTGATTTTTTCGAAAACTGGTTTAGCGTGAACATTAACGTTTTCCCTTAATTTTTTGTTTGTTTTTTCTGTCACGTTTAAAAACTATTGGGAATTTTAAATTTTGACCTCCCGAACGCACCAGCTAAATTCAAACTAGTAAAGTAACTGTTGAAGAAAATCGAAGCACTTTTTGTGCACCCAAACTGTGATGACACAAAAATAAAAAAATAAAAAAACACACATTATTGTAAAATCAATACATTCATCTCTCTGCTCGAATCTAAAATATTAGATATACATTTGTTTACGAATATATTTTTAAAAAAAAATGAACCTGGGGCGCCAGATTGCCATTGTTTACACTCAGCCATATAGGTAATACACATTATTTTTTAGCTCACGAGAAAAAATACATTTTATTTTGTTTGTCAATTTTTTATGCATAGTTATAATTAGACTTATATGACATTATTCAAAGAGTAAGTCTACTCGTATTATTATTTTTATATTTTTCAAAGCATATATAATATACACTACCTAGTCAAACATCAATAAAAATAAAAACAATTTAAAAGATTAAAATCTTTAAAAAATGAGTGGGTACCGCTCTGCTGTAGTGCTGTGTGGGTCACTGGGTTAAATTTGAATTCAATGACATAAAATGATTGAATACGAAAACAATTCCGGGCGAAAACGAACCGTATAATAAGTATATGTTATGATATTATTGCTATTAAAGTATTTTATTTTACTATATTAGTAATAGATTAAGTATGATTAAATTTTGCCGAAAACATTTCGTTTGAAGTGCCCTCGAATACTATTTTTAATTACGACAAAATAACTGAAATTGTTATTCTTTGTTTAAATATTTAATTTCGTCCAAATAATTTGAACTATTGGAGCTGTTGAAAGCGTCCCTTTTTTAAGGGTTCAAATTTAGACAATAATAATATAATATTATATACAATAATATGCGTCAGTGCTGTATGCCTGTGTGACTGTGTGTGTGTAAATTACTGATTTTTAATGCATATTAATCTTATTATTATTGTGCGTGAGTTCCAAAGTTCCAAGAACGCTTTATATAATTTATTAAAGATAAGCTACAGCTATAGCTAAGATTCTTGGAAAACAGTAGCGTACTAGCGTGCAGTCACTATATATCTATATTTTGCGGTAAAAAAAATGGCAACTCCTAAAGGTTTATGAAAGTCTCAACAAGTGAAAGAAAAATTTCCCGGTAGGTACCGGAAGTCTGACTTTAATTTTGAAAACATATTTGAATTTTTTATTCTTTTTTCTAAGTATTGTAGGAAATTGATTTTTATTTGTTGTATTGTTTAATTGTTATTCCCTTCCAAACTAATTTTGTTTTTTTTTTTTCAAAATGTACGTTTACAATGGTAGTAACAAAATAAAAATAAAAATTGATTTCCTACAGAACACAGACAAAAAACGAACAAATTTAAATATTTTTTCAAAATTAAAATTTTAATTTTTGAGAGCATGTTTTTTCTTTTGCTTATTTGCCTACATACAAAAAAATACTTTCAACAGCCTTAAAATATCTATAAAAAATATGTGTTTGTATATTTTTTAAACATATTTTGGCTACAGTATTAACTATTTATGTAAAGCCTTGTTTTAAATTTTCAATTCTTAGTTTGAAAATTGAACGTTTATTTTATACATTTTTAACCACAAAATAATTTCAAATTTTTTGTAATCTTGATAAATGTTGTTTACATTTTAACCTTAAATGTTTATAAAAATAATCTTGCCCGTGTGCTTTTAATATTTTTAACTGCTATTATACTACGTTATAAGTAACTAACCTTGTATTACCTACATTTTCAAACCTTTTGACATAACGAAAAATTATTTAATTACATTTATAGAAAAAAAACTTTAAAAAATCTAAAATGTCTAGTGCCTATAAATACTGCTCAAAAAGAGCTAAAATATTTTTAAAATATAATCAGGTATAGAAGCTGACAATATAAATATTTGGTGAAAATGGCATGTATATCTATAGTTATTCGTTTTTTAATTACTTTTTAAAATACAAAAATCGTTTTATGATTATTCGTTATTTTACTGTTAAATATCCAATGTAAACATTTTAATTCAAGATGTACTTATGTTACTTTTTGGTGAACTTTTGTTTTTTGTAAAAGGTGGAAAGAAAATAATGAATCTTTTATTAAACTTTCAAATGTTTCAATTTAAAAACAGCGAGAAAAATGTTCGAGATTTTGATGAATTTTGTCAAACTTATAATTTTTTTAGATTTACCTAATCTCAAATTTTTTCTTTGTTAATTATTTCGTCTTTGAGAATTAATATGTTGTCTTCGTCAACAACTCCGTCCGATGAATCCTGGTAGTTGGTAGCTTATTTTATAGGTAGTAAGTTATCTATTGTAGTTTTTGTATAAGTTTAAAAGTCAAATTGATTCTATTTATTTGATTATTAGCCAGTAATCAGTACAATACTTACATTGAAACACCGGTGTATTAAATCATATCTAAATAAATGTATAGTTTGTAATGTATTTATTTTGTTTTACTGATAACAATAAATGTATTTTAATGACGTAATCGAGAAATTGATTTTAATGTATAAAACATGGTTTTAAGAGACTCTAGAGTATACCACCGTCATGAACATCTATAGATACATTAATGTCATATAACATACTTACATATTAATATACTATAGGTACCTTTACATTAATATTCTTTAATTAGTGTCATTGATACATTTTTCAACTAAAGTCCAAGTGCAATAGTATTGGTGGAAAATTAAACCTTAAAAATGATATAGGTGTTATATTCGCAGGCCTATAATAGTTTAGGTAGGCAATAGGTACATCGTATATTCATATATAGTAGGTAACAATAAGTTATATTATATAGATGCCCTTTATTGACGATCAGTGGGTAACAACAATGACCATTGTATAATCCTTACATCATATACTGTGGATGGATCTAGAGAGCCTTAACAATTAAGGCTCTCCAGATGGATGCTTGTCCCAATATTTGAAGCACATAGTATGAGCGAACAGTCTCTCGTTGAGACGTGTTATCTGCGCACGAGTGTGTATGCTCGCTGCAAAATTATTCTAATAGCTACATTCTTCCTGGGGTTCATAAGTGACAATAACTAGTGATACCGAGTAATAAATAATATGTGACGATCAAACTTGCGGATGCGCAGATAACGCATCTCAATGAGCATGCCAGCATGTGCTTCAAATTGTTTACATGGGCGAGATAAACTATGGTTCCATCCAAAGCACGGACTAAGATATATACAATGTACTTATATATATATATATTAGTCCGTGACCCAAAGTATAAGATGTAAGGTATAACCCGTAGGGCCGTAGAGTACCTAAGTATAGTAAGTATTACTCTTTGGTACAACCTGACGGTGGTGATAACCGCGATGATATGTTTTAGTATATCGTCATGGTGATAACTAAGTCCGTGATAATAACATTGTATTATGTTAATGTGTTCATATATGACTATAAAGTCATTACTACTGATCAGTGGTCAGTGGTCAGTACAGTATCATTTGACATTTAAACATATTTTGAGCTATTAGTAAAGTAATAATTAGTAGATTTTAGTTTTTTACTACATAATAAGTAATGATTATTGTTAACTTATTACATTGTTCAATGACTTCAATGGTCTCTACTCTCGAATAGTCTATTACTTTGATCCGTTATTCACCGTCAAGTGCCAATAAATGGGTACACAATAATATTATTATGCTCTGTAGTCAATCTTATAACGATTATGCTTTAAAGTTTATAAATTAAAAAATTGATGAATATTATGTTTTTAATTTTCTCTGTTAGCATCTAAAGGTAAACTCGTGTAGAACATATTATTTTGTTCAAAAAGTTGGATGTAACATATATACATATTGGAAATATATATATATGAAACAGTGAGATGGCACCGCATAATAAAGAGGTAATTTTTCTACAGTCTCAATACTCAGTAGTTATTTTAGTCACGTTGAAAACTTACAAGTTTTTAGTTAAAGATATATAGTAAGGGTTTTTTAATGATTTATCATTGTTTTCAAATCTAAAACCTTAGCACTTGATATCTCTGTAGGTATCTTATAAGCATGTGCACAAGGTATGCATACCATTCCTTACTTTGAGACTACAAGTTAAATGCCTTACTCAATTGATTACCCAATGTTAATAATTTAAAATGACCTCAGAAATATTTATTGAATAAGGGAATAAATATATATATATATTATATAAACATCTACCAAAACACAGTATCAACCAGCAACCTTATAGTAGTAATGCCCTCATTGTCTAGAATTATTTGAAATCAGAATATTCATTTTGTAACTGTCTTGCACTCTTACCTTACACCAGAACTCGTGCTATTGGACATATTATATTCTATGTACGGAAAATATTATGTGGTATGGACACTTCATTAATTTAAGCTAATTATTCAACCAAAGTATTCATCTTTTATAAAATATTTCACTTAGCTTGTGAAAACTTACATTTATAGTCATATGCTAAAAATGTATGTATGCTATAATTTATAATTTATTGTAACTAATTAGATATATATATTTATTTAACATTGGTAATTTTATTATTATAAAACACACATTTTTATTTCTATTCCATCATTTATTACAATAATTGTACATACAAACAATTGTTTAGAATTATTAGTATTCTATAAAAATAGTTACTATGTATCAAAATTATTCAACAAATTGATTGCATGAAACATTGTAGACTATAAAAGACTTTCTTTAAGCTATTTTTGAACGTGGTACACAATCACTTATATGCTAAATAATTCAAAATTTGTATTACCAAGTTATTTAGCGAGATTGAGATTGTTAACGTGTTACATATTTGATGGCTGTCTTGTATTTAATGACATTGTTTTAATTTCAAGTTGCCTACGATTAATACGAATTTGTATACCTATAATAACAAAGAATTTTGTAACAGTTGAAAATATTCAAGGATGGCTTACAGCATTACTTGTTTCTTTTTCCTTAGCTCGGTCTTCTTTTAAATTCTTGTGTGCCAATTTAATTTCATTTGGCATCAGCTCCATTCTTTTTTCAATAAAATTATCCATATTCAAACAGTGTGTATAATTGAGTACCATAACCCGACATGTTGGACAATGATTATATTTCTCCAACCATTTGTCAATGCACCATTCACAAAACATGTGTCCACAACCCACCAATACTGGCTAAATCAAAATAAAGTAAAATAATTAAGTTATAAGTTATATTCTTAAAATAATGCGGTTTTCTCAGATGAATTTTATTATTAATTGTATCATTAATTGGTATATTATATTTCCTAAAAAATTATTTAAAGTTGTACCTTTATCAATACTTCTTTACAAACAGGGCACTGATATTCCTCATCTTGGAACAGACCTTCATGCAATACCTCAACAATCTTAGAATTCTTATCCGTTTCATCTTTCAACCTTCTCTGTAGTGATAACGAGTATTTCTTAAGAATATTTAATTGTGAATTCAGTTCAGTATTCTCATCTCTAAGTAATGTTAAATCTTTGAACAAAATTAAAAATATTATCTATACAATTAAGTGGTCAATAGATACTATGGCAAAATAGATAGGTTTCATCACAGTTGCAATAATTTTTTCAGTATTCGCATCTCCTTCACCTCCGTTCCATGTCATAGTTCTCCCCTTTGGATTGGTTGATTTATTTCTTGTTTTGAATGTATATGATTGATAGCCAATAAGATGTGAAGAACTACAATACATGTGAAGTAAAGAGTGGAAGAAAAATGTGTGATGATACCTATCTATTTTGCCATAATTGATACCATGTTTTAATTGTTGTTTTTATTGATTTTGTTTTTTAAAATTTATTCAATTTCGAACCTGTGTGTAATTGATGGAACTTGTCATCAGCTGTAGTCTGGCTGAAAATAAATTTAAAATAAATTATAACTATTATGGTTATAATTTCATTTTGTGAAAAACTTACTCGATGACATCGTTGATTTCAGGCTTTATAGTGGGTGTCTTCTGATTGTCTTGATTGCTGGTAGATGCAACATCCAGTTCCGCTAAGGAAAAAATTGATTATATAATCATCAGATATTCAAATTATGCTATTATATTTGAAAATGTATAGTAGGTATTTTATTCTTTTAAATAATTCATTAAACATGTAGTTCATTTATGTAATCATAATATTTATTTTACAACCTTTCATTGAACAATTTTATATTTCAGAAATGTCAATATTTTTTTTGCTATGATTATTTTGATCTTATTAATAAAAAAAAAATACATCTATAATCATACTCATATACTATTTGTATCTAGTTTATAATCAATTTATTTTGATTGGAATCATGAAAATTTAATTATGTTCAATATATTACTATTTAGTCACAGCCAATTTCTTAGTACTTGAAATAAAATTATCTTTGAATACATGATACTCACATGACGGCTTTTCGTGTTTATTGATACATTTTATTCCTAACTGACAGAACCCACTCATGTGAAATGTGCAAATGGGATTCATATTGCTTGTCTTGTCAACAGTTACTGGAAACAGATTTAAATGTAAGTTATTAGTAACTCAGAAAGAAAATTTTAGATTTTCATAGATTCAAAATGTACACAATTACTAAAAAAACATTACTAGCAAAAGTGACTACCAATTTGATAGTAGATAATATTATTTAGTTTTTATTTTTTTATTGTGAGTTGTTTTACATAGCTGAAATATTGAGCTGTAGATAGATCATAATAATGTAGTGACACACTAGTACGATACACTCAAGAATCCTAGAATGTCTAATGATGTTATACAATTTAAAACTAGTTGTTTAATTACACTAATAAGTAATTACAGACCATATGCTTTAGAATTATTTGACTTTTTGTCGTATAAAATATATGATAAAGCAATACCAGTATATGTATCGCTATGTAAACGTCTTCTGAGAATAATAATAAATGTCATATCTCATTCATTTTCAATAAATCTGAGCACATAATCTGAGCACTAATCTAAGTACACACATTTAGCTGTTTATACCTGAAACGTTTCCTGTTAAGCACGGATGTAGCTGTCGGTGATTACTAGACGCCGAATTGCTGGTGGCATGCGTGAGACTGCAGCAGTTTGGGCGCTGAGAAAAAAAAATGCCATTAGTGGTTTATTTGCATGATTTTAAACACAATACTCTGTCTTAAAATAGAATACACCAGTTTCGTGCATCACGACTGACGACCACGGATGGTTAGATTAACCGAACCTGATTTTCCCCCGCTATGCGGCGAAATCGACAGCTCACAACTACCAAAACCGGTATCACACACAATGTTATTATTATCTATAGAAAATTAATAATCTATAGATGTTGGCCTGCATACATAGGAGTTCAACAATTAATTTCAATTTTTTAAATTTCTATCCGTTTTTTGATGACTTAAATACACCTATAAAATTATATTATGTTCAATGTAATACTTGTGGGAGGGGGAGGGGAGAGGGGGTCTGTACAACGCGGGGTGATAAACGGTCTCGTCGAGCTCTCTAGTACAAACACCTGGTGCAGTTATAGAGCAGATGCGTTGCGCTGAACGAAAACTTGTCGGTCGGCTGGAGTATTTACTTTGAGACAGAGTATAATATATATTAGTTATAGTCGTAATAATAATATATTCACTCATACGACGACACAAGACACGTGAAAGTATTGAATACAACCACTGTTTATACTACCATAGAATATATTATATGTATACACACCTGTGGAATGATGTCGGCGGAGCGTTATTGATAGTACGACCACCGAGGGTTGGTCGCGGCAACGGATCAGCGAGTGTTCAGTAGCAAGACACCGACAAGACGAGTGTGCTGTGACCGACTGCCGAATGCTCGAACGTCGGAGCGCGCCGGTTGTGATTACAGTCGAAAACTGGTCCTCTTGACCCCTCCCACCAACCAGGATTATCTATATCGTCGCAGGACTGAGACGCGCTAAATCGTTACTTCCATGACAAAGTAAAAGTACCTATTATTCCTTATACCGTGAATCTCGATTATCCGTCTTCCGATTGACCGTCTTTTAGGTTCACCGTCACACTTCCGTTCTAACATGATGCGAATTATTCGCAGTGATCATACTCATCAACCATCATGTAACATGATGCAGTAGCATCTTATATTCTTATCAGTGTACTCGGGACTGTTCGGCAATATCTACTAGATAGGTGATATAATATACGTTTTATGGATAAGATAATTTAAAATATTATAAGTTAAAAAATATATATGATTGAATATATATCGACATTTAGTAAATTAATAATATAGTAAATTTTTAAAAAATAATGAATAATGAACCAATGTATAAGTATTTATGTAAATACGTCGTAATTATTAAAAAAAAACAGTAAATAATGTGTTCATAGGGTGTAACAAGGAGACTCGACAAATTAAATAACTTTGTTCTAAATAAAAAAAACAATGTTTAATAAATTTAATCGAGTACCTACCATGCTGTACTATGGTTATTATGGCAACAATATTATAATATCGGTTCCACTTTATTAATTCTAAAAAATATGTTTTTATTTTTTTTTAAGGATTTTAAATCTTTTCAGGAGGATTAATAATTGTTTGTGATTCTGTGAAAACAATTTTCTCCTGAAAAAAAGTTATTTCAATTGAAAAACAAAAATAATTGATTTTAAAACAAAATTAACTTTTTTTGTATTACCAATATCAAAAAAATAACGATAGGACAGATGAAAATATGTTGTCTTCCCTATGGTACATAATTTTATGTCTCAACTACACTGTAGTAGAGCGTTATATTTTCGCGCGAATCTGTTTTCTTTTTTATTTCCTAATTACGTAACAACTAAAAACATGCACGCTTAAAAGCTATTACCAATCCTTAACAAAATAGTACTGAGAAATTGTATTAATAAATAATATATATACCAGCTAATACCGTGCACTTCGTTGCCCATTGAAAGTGCCAACTATAATATTAGATATGTTTTATTTTACATAATGAATAACTCGACGTTGCCCGCCGACCAGTAACGATGCATTCCTTCGTAATTCGTATTGCATATCCTTTGTCTGCTCAGGATTATGTCTGCGTAGTTTACATTAGAGCGACGTATAAAAGAACTAACATTATTATGTGACTAAAATTATCACATGAATAATTTTTAAGTCACGTTCGAAAAATATAACAGCCTGAAGTTAAAGTCGCACTATAATAAAGTAATAAAATTGTCAACATAAGAAATACGGTAACCAAGCACTCCACAGCCCTAATCATAGGCCTATAATAGGTAGCTACTGCGGTATGCTCTTATAAACATGTAGATTTTTCGGTTTGGAAACACATGAGCAAGCCACATAGAGCTAACCATGAGAAAAACATGGCGTGTCCAAATGTATGCCTGCTACCTTCAAGGTTTGACCCTGCAATTTGTTCATCGTCATTGAAAATGCGACTTTTAATGGGAACTGCAGGCGTTTAAAATTTAATGGCAAGTTGTTGGGTGTGATTGGTTTGCTCGGTGTAAGAACATTGGCTCAATTGGCGATTCTAATTTACTAAATAGAAAACAAAATCAAGCTTCCGTGATTGATTAATTTTTGTTTTTGGTAAACTAATAGTTATAATAATTGTTTATTATTCCACGTCGATACCGACCTGCCTAGAAGCATCTGTGCTTGTCGAGTTTGAATGTTATTTATTTTCAGCCAACTACTATTTCTTACTAAAAGATATACAATTTACACATTTTTTAAAATTAAAATTGAAATAAAAAAATTCACACAATATTTATAAATTGTAGCCTATGTGTTATTCTGATGTATAAGCTATATTATTGTATAGTTTCATTAAAATAAATTCGGTAGTTTTTAAGTGAAACATACTTACAAACTTTCAGGTTTATAATATTAGTAGGATATATAATATAAATATATCTGAGTCTCTAAATTTAATTAATATTTCTTTTCATTCCGATTAATGCACACAATATGTAGGTACACTAAAAATTGTGTTTCAAAATAATGCGATACAGATTTTACAAATTGAAATCTGGTATTTTGTCTTTCTTCGTTTTTAAATTTAATTCAAAACATAATTCTTAATATAATTATTATGGTATGGTATAGTTTCACTGACAAATGTGTAAAAAGTCAACATGTATTATTATTTCCCCAAGGCCCAAAGTGTAAGATTTTTCTTTTTAGACAAAATTATAAAATTACAATTTATTTAATATTATTATTATAATTACTTATATTATGTTTTACAAGTATATATTGTAGTTATATGACATATGTTTTTTCTATTTGTCAATAAGTATAACTATATTTATGTTAAAGCAAATTAGTAGAAAATATTATTACTTATCTCTAAAATCAGTAATCAGTAATAAAATATACAATATTATTAGACACTCTTCAACTTTCGCATAATTGTCTTTTATTATAGATAATAAAAATATTTAAATAATTCACAATAACAATGCTTAAAAAATATAATGAACTTTAAAATTAAAATTAAATGCATTTTAATTTGTTTATTAATCATGTTTAAATAACCATAGTTATTAGCCCCCGTCAAAAATGATTATAGAATATACAGTGGTGATTACATTAGAACTGGTTCTTACAAGCTCTACTAACTTTTAGACTCACTCACAAATAAAATAATTATTCATAATAATATAAACCTTTAGACTCATTATTCAAAAATCTAAACAATATATATATTTGGAAAACTGATTGATATCAACCCAAGTATACTATACTCAGACAGAAAAATTTTGAAAAAATCATTGAATAAATACGTTCTGATTACTGACAAGTGTATGTATACACAATACACTATTTAACTTTCGACACATCATATTACTACCTATATGTTGTAATTTTACGTGTTCAAAATATGATGTCAGACACAATAAGCAAAAATTAAACACATCACATTATTGTAAAACTGATATCACATTCTTCGCTCGGCGAAAAACTAAAATTATTAAAATGTAGTTGGCAAAGTTAAACTAATTTTCAAATGCTACAAAGTTAAATTAAGGAGATTGCATCAATGCAAATAGTTTATTTTCAAGGAGATGACTATAGGCAACATGAGATTACTTTTGTAATAAATATTGAGTGGTTGTTGCGCATAGTAGATTATCATTAATGCGAGTAGACCTCAAAAGAGCAATTAATGTTTTAAGTTGCAGTTTGTAATTTAAATGGATGATTTTCAAAAGTTAGATTTCGGGATCTATCGCAATATTTAAATAATAATATGTAATGTATAAATTATTATTATCAATATCACTTAAAGTTGTGTAGAATATATTCACATACATAAAAAGTAATGAGTTCGTAAATTATGAATTCGATAGTAAAATAATAAAGAAGTTCGGAACACCAACGCTAGATATTTATTAAAAAATGTATTTCTCAAGCTATTTATCGTTAGCGAAACTGTGCATATTAAATTTTTGGACTCTTAGGATTCTGTGAGAACAATTTATTAAAAGGCTGCTTGTGTTAAATGTTAAAGTTTTTAAAATTCAAGTTTGACAAGGCGCCTGTAAGTCGTGTAGATACTACATAAAGTGCTAAACATTAAAATACTGCAGCACTATACAATACTATATATTACATATATAACATAATAATAATACATACACATAATTTAGACAAGTGCACTTAATCCGTATATTTCTATACATGTATTTTATTTAATTATTATAAAATGAGCCGGGTTGTGAAGGGGGGGGGGGCGATATATTATTATTGTTTTCGATTGAAGTCTTATCTTGAAGTCTTATATTGAAGTCCAATCTTACCAAACATACTTTGCGAAGAGTAAATCTATTAAAACGACTGGATAATAATATTATCGTTATATATTTTATACAGCAGCTACAGCTGTGACCGTGCGTGGTCGCAGTTCTGCAAAACGGTCGGTTTGGTGATGAGGAGTTCGCGGTACACATACGAACACAATACACAAAGCCTCCCTCTACCACCATTACAGTTTAGGGCTTGTTAAACCTTTGCGTGAGTAAAACGAATTTTGGCCGCCACCTCGGCGCCGTACTGTCACCGTATTCGCACGCCATTATCGAATGTTGCGTTTCATGTAACAATAATAGAAGGATAATAATAAAAATCTGACGGCGAAAACCCAGTAGTCAGGTTGTTGGGAACGTGTCCAGATAATAATATTCATATATTGGCGCGCTATAGTTCAATCATTTTGCACCCTTTATAATTATTAAGTTCACGTCGGTGCGAGTTAAAATATTATACAGTTGATGTATTTTGATGGGACGTCGAAATGCAAACAGAGTAAAGAGTTATTCGCATGGGCACCTATTATAACTATTATTACCAAGCGTTTGCTTTTAGCTTATAAATTATTATATTATTATATTCAACGGACTATTATTAATCCGATTATACATCGACAGTCTACACGTCAATTTTGTTTTGTTATTTTCTCCACCCCCTTTGTTTTAATAATAATTATTTATAATATGCGTCATTCTCGACATTAAAATAATATTGTGTCATATTACGAGTACGAAACCGATCATTCATTGTGTTATTGACATGTGCATATGCGAACAAGAATAGGATTTGTCAGTAGGTACCCGCATCGAACCCCACTAGCACTAATAATCATTTACAAGTACGACCAATTCAATATAATATTTTAGATCTCGTGATGGCAACGACGTGATTAGAAACTGTCTAATATTCTTGTCCCTTAAATAAAAAAACCTAGCGAGGCCACTTCAACGCTGTGGCAAAAACGCAGTGTAAAGCCCCCGCGCCTTGTCCAATAGTTTTTTTTAAGTAGTGAGTGTTTTTTGATAAAATAATCACCCTATACAAAGACACCAGTGCTTGGAACTTTGATTAAAAATACAGGTCTTAGAACCGGAAATGATTCCAGAACATTCTGAAAACCTGGGGAACACGATCCATACTTGTTATTTATATTTATAATCAAAAGTTAGTGGAATTCAGATTATAATTAAATATTGGCACAAATTGGCAATCACTGTATTTTAAGTTTAATATTGCGAATTGTGTCACTTATTTTATTATCCTAACTACCTGAGTTTAATTTATACACTTATGGAACAATATTATATTATAATAAAAAATGTTGGTGCCTATCTTTAAATACTGGTTAGTATTCATTATGATAAAATTAT